CCACACTGAACGCTCTCCCCGCTCTGCAGCTGCTGGCCGTGGACTTTGGCTTTTGGTACGAAGACCCCGAGATGCCAGCCCTGGTCGTGCTGGCTCAGCTGAAGGTGCTGGTGGTGAAGTTGGGATTGGAGCCCAACGAGGCATTTTTTCTATGCGCTATTAGTGAACAGGCGGCGGACAATGTCGACCTTCAGATTCACCTGGAAGACGGTGCTGCCTACGATCTCTCCCCGTACAAGCATACAAGCAACTGGAGCAAGTCTCTCTTCAGCCGCGTAGTGAGACTCGGCGTGGTCGATGATCGATTCTGGTGTGGATCGGAGATATGCCCGCTCTTTCCGTCGCTCACCTCCTTCAGTCTGGTGGTGCGGAGTTGTGAGGCCTTCTCCACCCACTACGTCCCGTTGATCACCGCCCTCTCTCAGCACAACCGACAGCTGCTTCACCTGGGCTGGAAGCTGGACCTGGTAGATCAGCAGAACCTCAATCCAATCTCAGCACCTCCGCCTCGCTCTCTGCCGCAGCTGACCTCGGCGCGAGCCGTTACTCTGGACCTTGACATGGCCGACCACTCCCAGGTCGAGTGGCTCCGCCTGCCCTGGACGCTGCCCAACTGCCAGGCTATTCACCTGCGAAACTTTGACTGTTATCGCTGTCGGGTCGAACTCTGGAAGATCCTGCGTGGTGACTACTACACCGAGCACTCTGAGCCAACAAACTCCGCAACCGCTCTGCAGTGTCTGCGTGAGCTTCTCTCCAAGCTGTATCCGCACTTCCAGCTCCAGCAAATCACCTTAGGCAAAGGTGAGCCGTACCGCACTGCCGCCGAGCTGTTCGCCGAGCATCACGAGCAACAGTAGAGTGTTGCTCTTGCTCAATGCAGCATCTGCCCCTGTACCCCAGCTTTAATTAACCCCCTTCTTTCTTTACACACACACACATTTACCCACACCGTAAAGTTCTTTTTCAGCTCAAGCACCCTCACAGATTCACAGCAGTTACAGCACACAAAAATCAGCAGCAGTCAGCCAGCAATCAATCGTCCTATTTCTGCACTCTGCGCCTTTTGCACCGAAAAACGCCACTTCGCTTTTCTTCCGAGCTGCAAGAGCTGTCTGGCTGACTCGGTGCAGCCGTGCAATCCTCCTCTCCTATCGCACATTATTATGGTTATATCTCTCTTTTCCCACTAACACAAACTAATAAATAGTAAATGGGGAATAAATGCAAATCCATTGTGTGCGACCGTCTGCAGCTGCTGCTCAAACAAGTGTCTGGCAGTGAGTGAGTGAGTGAGTCAGTAGATAAATAAGACAAGCAAAAACTGTCCAGCAAAAGTAAAAGCTATCCGGGGCGTCACCAAAGCGGCGCTGGCAGTGCTACACCAGCCTATCACTCCTTGCTACCGCAAACTCCTCCCCCTCCTCCTCTTCCACAAATCTTTATTTGCACCAAAAATCCGTTGCTGTTTTCCCTTCTCTTCTTTCTTTTGTCTGTCTGTTATGTAACAGCAGCAACTTTTGCACTTGCAAAATAATATAAATAGCCCTGCCGTTTGCCAACTTTTCCAGCCGTACGTACCCTCTTCTTTCTCTTTTTTAGCAGAAAATCAACTCTTGAAAACATTTTCGAAATGTCCTCCTCCTCCGAAAAACCACCGCTGACCTTTCTGGTGCACGCCCTGGACGCCACCGGGCACCTGAACGCCTGCGTCGGCTTCGCCCAGGCGCTGGCCGCCCGCCGCCACCGGGTGGTCTTTCTGCTGAACGCCAAGTTCGCCGGCCAGTACGGGCGCTACGGCTTCGAGGAGGTCCACCTGGTGCAGACGGTCCAGCCGAAGCCCTTGAGACCTGAAGGAGCTGATGGCGNGGCGCTGGCCGCCCGCCGCCACCGGGTGGTCTTTCTGCTGAACGCCAAGTTCGCCGGCCAGTACGGGCGCTACGGCTTCGAGGAGGTCCACCTGGTGCAGACGGTCCAGCCGAAGCCCTTGAGACCTGAAGGAGCTGATGGCGATAAAAAGAACGAACCCGAAGACCCAAACGAGTCGGCGGCCAGGAAGCGGGCTCGGGCCATTCTCGCCTCCGGCGTCCTCAGCGGCAAGTCGACGCTGGAGAAGATGAAGGAGAGCGTCGAGCTGGCCGACCCCTTCGGCCTGAACCTCTTCAACGCCTGCGTGGAGTTCAATCCGCAGATTGAGGCGGCCATCAGCCGGTACCGCCCGGACGCCCTCATCCTCGACCACTTTATGATCGCGCCGGCCTTCCTAGCCGCCCGCGTTCCCTGGTTCAAGCTGAGCTCCTCCAATCCGCTGGGACTTTTCAGTGGACTTTTACCCGAGGGGAAACTTCCGCCCGGGGAGTCCGGTTATTCACCTTATTCAGCACCGGATTCTCCAGAGCGAAAGTTGTGGACCGAGTTTGCCGCCTACAAGACCGAGTTCAACAATCGCTTTCGAAAGTACCAGGAGAAGCTCTTCCAGCACTTTGAGTTCCCGTACTCGGCTGAAGATCTTCCTTCTGAAGGATCGCTCAGTATAAAGTCCAAATACGGCGTCATCTACGGCTACCCAAAGGAGCTCGACTACCTGGGCGACCTTTCTGAGGAGGAGGACCTCCTGAAATGCTCAAACTTCATTCGCATTGACGCCTTCTCCCGAGAGGAGCCCAAGAGTAAGGAGGAGGAAGAGGGTGAAAAGCCTCAATTCGAACTTCCAGAAAGTTTTCGAAATCCTCCTCAGCCAGGCCAAAAGCTAATCTACTTCTCCCTGGGCACCGTGGCCTGTCTCGACGTTCAACTAGTGCTCAAGCTGGTCGGCTGGCTGGCCAAGACCTCCCATCGAACCATCGTCTCCAAAGGCCCGCTTGCCGATGAGTTTGAACTTCCCGGCCCCGCCGACCAGGTCTGGGGACGGGAGAACCTTCCGCAGACGGCCCTTCTTCCCCTCGTCGACCTGGTGGTCACCCACGGCGGAAATAACACGGTGACGGAGGCGGTGGCCGCCGGGAAGCCACTGCTCGTGCTGCCCATCTTTGCCGAGCAGGCCGACAACGCCCAGCGAGTCGCTGATAAGGCCTTTGGCGCCCGACTAAATCCTTATCAGGTGGAGGAGGAGGTGTTTCTGGAGACGGTGGAGAAGATCTTAGCAGATCGGGAGATGGCTGAGCGACTGGTCAAGGCTAAGGAGCGAATCGAGAGGGAGAAGAGCAAGGAGAAGGCAGTGGAGAGGATTGAGGCGATTGTGCGTCAGTTTTATGCTGAAAAGAAGTAGCATTTTTTTATTTTAATTTCGTTAAAATCAGCATTTAAGAGTTCAAACAGGTAGCTCAAACACTAAATTGTTTACAACTTTTGCTTTCTTTCTCTCTCTCTTTCTTTCTTTTTCGCTCTAATTAACCAGGCCAGCTTTCGGTTGCCCTCGGTTGACCGCTCTTGGTTGCATTTGGCATTTT